GGAAATATTTTAATAACTACTTTTTCATTTAATTTTAATGAAGTTTTTTCTAGTTTGAGTCAAGGTGTTTTACTTTGTTGAAAAAATGGACATTGTTTAATATTAGCAGTTCATAATTCTTCTTCCACATAAAATAGTGAATAATGTACAGTTACTTTTCACACTATGCTTCACAAGGCTAGAAAACTGAACCAGATTCTTTAGAATCTACAAAAGCAATTATTTCATTTTTTATCCATTTTAATATACCTTTGACATCATTAGTATAATCACAATCCTCACTTTCTTCGAGAGCAGTGAACCAATTCTTTAAAAATGGGGTTGAAACAGAACCTCACTTTTATTTATTTTTTGGGAGTAGAAAATATTCTTTTTTTAATTTATCTTTATTGTTGAAAGTATTATTTAAAAGGCTCCTAAACCTTGAGATAGTTGGCAGAGAAAAATCATAATGTGGCTATTTGAATTTCTAAACGAAAAAGTTCACAAAGTGTTAAAATTCTTTTTTCCGGTCTTGTTTTGTAAAAGAATCTTTATTCCAACTGAGATTAATTTTTCTTCAAATCAGCTGCAAGAGAGCAAACAAAATTTGCTACAAATCAAAACCCTGACAGTTATATTTCCCTGAGATAATTGCATGTTGCCTTGGACTTTCCTTTTCCCCTCTGTTTCCTTTTGTTTTGACAACAAGATTCTGGGAAAGCAATATACAAACGATAATTCTGCTGTCATGAGTACACTGAATTTTAAAAATAAATAACTGTCAACCCCAAAAGCTTCCAGGAACCTATGGAGTGAATTCTTTTTCCAAACCATTCCAAAACCAGATGTGGAAATGTTTAGCTTATTCCCCTCCTCATTCCCCATGCAGAGAATTAATATGTGTCTCTGATGACATCAGAGGAGATGGTGAGGCAAAAATCCTATCTGCTTTCAAGGAGATTTGTGTTACAATTCTCAATTCACTAACCAACATCACAAAACAAATTTGGACTGTAGCTTTTGTCTCTTTTAAAAAGAGGGGATTTTCCCCCTGAGATGAAAAATGCTCTGTGTTTAAACCAATATCTAACCTCTTTTGTGTAAGACATTAAGAAATAGAGTTCACACTCCCCAAAATATCTACCATTACTTCTAAAACCACGAGTTAGCATTGCCTGTTTTTGAACTTTATGAATATGAACTTTTACATTGTGCATTATTTTGTGTCTGGATTCTTTCACCCAACATTATATTTTTGAGATTTATTCATATTGTTGCATGTAATAGTGATGCATTCATTCTTATTGCTGTGGTCTTCTATTCCTTTTTTGAATATGCAACAATTTATCTATCCATTCCACTGCTTTGGGGAATGTGCATAGTTTCCAGTTTTGATTTATTAAAAATAATGTTGCTATGATTTTTGTGCAAATATTTTATTTTATAGATATGTGCTTTTATAATGGTTATGTATATAAAATATAGATACATACTTCCATATATGTGCAAGTATAATATATATATTTTTTCCAACACTGCCATCAATAATATATGAGGACTACAATCCTACATTCCCATCAACTTGATATATTCCTCCTTTTTTTATTTCAGCCATTCCAATGAGTAATCAGTGGTATCACCCTGTGGTTTAATTTGTGTTTCCCTGATGACCAATAAAAATAAACATCTTTTCATATGTTCACTGGGGGAGAAAAAGAGTTCATATTCCAAGAATGAAATGTTTCTCTTTTTTTAAAAGAACAGTAAAGTATTTATTAAGAATTAGGCTTATTAAGGAGTTCTTTTTTAAATAAGGGGGGCGGGGGGAGGAAAGCTCTGTTAGAGGAACTAATGGAAAAATGTATATGCGCAAACCACATTTAGAAAAAAACAGAAAGCTACTGTACTCTGTAGCTGCTAAGAAAGCAAACATTTTGTATCCAGGTGTCATTAGCAGCTCCGGTTGTGCTGGCCTCTCTATAGCTCAGTTCAGGACGGTATGTACCAATAGCTGAGCCCTACTTGGCTATACAAATGCATCTAAGTTCATTGCTTCTGGAATGTCACAGGGATAATTTGCAATCTGGTCCAAATGGGGCTATGGTAACGCAAACCCTGAGACACGCTTTCTGACAGCCCAGCCACCTCCTCCAGAAACTGGACAGTAGTCCAAGGTTAGCGCTCCTTTTTCTGCTTCATTTCTTCCCCAGTCCTCAACTCCCCATAGCTCTGAAGATTTCTGGAAACTTTAAATAGGATTCTGTCCACAGCTCCTGGGATGTTATGTATGCACAGCTCCAACTATGGCTAAAAATACCTTCAGTTTGGCACCCCTGCACAACTCACTTTTTAGGAGCTCATTTCCCTCTCTAGCCCCTCAGCCTTCTTTTTACTCTGTCCCCAGGCATCAGAGACCCACTGTCTCCTTCCTCTGTCCAATATACCATTCTTTCAGCACATCTCTGCTAGAAGTTAGAAAACCCAGCTTGTTTTATGAATTCTCACTGTGTTGTGAATGACTAATAACCCTCCCCCAATAAACACACACACACACACACACACACACACACACACACACACACACACACACACTGCCCTTCCCTGGTAATTTCAAGCTGATGGGAAAGGAGGCTGCCAAGTTCTGATGACCTGTACTCAGTAAAAGGGAGCAACTCCCCAAGTGTGCGTTAGCAAGCTCATTAGTAAGGTAGTCTAAAATGATTAGCTGGAAGACAACTATCTTCTTTATCAGAGAATCTGGGCTTTTTATAACGAACTGAATTGTCCTTCAGAGGGAGGAGGATAGGAAAGATGTTTGAGGGAGTGAAAGAAAATGGGTGGCATAACTTCCTGGCCAAAAACACAGCCTTAAGCTTGGGTCTTGGTTTGGGGGTTTGAACAAAGAAAATGAAATGGAAGGATTGGTTCTCTGGCCTATTGAGGTAACTATTTAAAGGAGAGGTTTTTGTTCAAGGCAAATATGCACAGGCTATGAGATGATGTTAAGGACAGAAGGAAGGAGAGGGAGGAAAAGAAAGCCACTCCTAAAGCATGCTCAGGACAAGGTGGTCTTCTTTAAACCAAGACAATAGTACAGTGGTGATGGAGTGATTATCTCAGCTTCCAAAAGGAACCTCAGCAAATATCATGCCTCATTCTGGATCATGTTTATTAAACTGCTGAGTCATCACCCAGGACCAACTGGCATCATAATTTACTTGATTTATTATTGTTTTTATTGTCTTATATTGTTTGTTTTGGTTTTTGGAGGGGTAAGAAGATCATGTTTTTGTGTGTTGATGCTGCTTCTGTTTTTGCTTTGTGTAAAACAAAAAAAGCAGTCTCAGGAAAGACATTTCAAAATGAACAAAAATGAAAGGAAGTAGCCTGGTAGACCCCTTAGACTTCTCTTTATACCTCAACACCTCAGAGAAAATGATGGGTCATTATTGAGAGAGAGAGAGAGAGAGAGAGAGAGAGAGCAATATGTACCAAATTAAGTGCCTGACTTAGAAACAAAACATCTCATCCAGGCCAGTGCTCTTTTCTAGCGGGCTCTCATACCATGGTTTCCATTAAAGAATGCAGGAAATTCATCCATATCAAATGAAGAGAAAAAGCTGAATTTTTGCAACTGGGGAAAAGGGAAAGAAAGAAGAGTTTTGGGATGCTTTTTAGTACAATGATATTCACATAGTAGGCACTCAATAAATTTTAGTCAAAGAATGAATTCATTTATGTGGAGGTTACTTAAATCAGCAGGGAACAAAAGTAAAACCTTACACACACACACACACACACACACACACACACACACACAATTTCTTTGAAAATGTAGGCACTTTTCTATTTATCTCATTTTCACTTTTAAAATGAAAGCTATGTTGGATAGTATTTGATAATGTTTCTCTTCTTTCCTTTTTCATTTGTCACCTCATTCTGATGTTGTCTTTTTGATACTTGTTCTTAGCATTAGTTATTTTTCTTCACACTACTCTGCTAGTCACTCCTTAAGAAGTAAAAGACAATAGGACTAGGAGGTAGCCACAGAGCTTCATATTTTTTAAAAAATGAAAAGCTAGTGAAAATAAAAGAAGAATGTAAAGCAAAGTATGTGATTCAATGAGGTACCAACCATGGTCACAAAGGATATTTTTGAAAATAACTTATCAACCAATGTATAAAACACAAACCTAAGACCCTCTTTCTTTAATATAGGACATTTAAATAGTTTTCATGGATAATATGGATCAAAATATAAAATTAAAAAGGAGCATTTTTGTTTCTGAAATTTTACTGTTTTAGAAGGTATCCCAATTGATATACCAGGGAATCTATTGGTTATAATGATTTACGATGCTATTGGTAGAGTTTTTGAAGCCTTCATTTGATTAGCTTATGGGAGCCTCTGGTCAAAATTTTAATACTTGGTTGTCAGGAATAAAACATCATTTCTTCTTAGGTTTCACTTAATTAAATTTGTTGCTAACCAAAAAAAAAAACAGCAATAGGGAGGAGTTCATTATTACGGCATATGAGAGGACAAGTGCTGTCAGTTTGAATTAAACTGTATCTCCTGTCTCCTTATTTAATGTTTGACATGAAAACTGTTTTTTTTATTTTTTTTAGCTAGGGTTATACACAAAAGGATGCCACTCCTGATCAGTATGGACTCTCATTCTACATATGAGGGATATGTGCTTTATACCAAAACAGCATGATAAAGTCACTGAAAGAAGCTATTGTAGTCATCCATAAACGTGAGTTTCAACAATGAAATTAAAATTCAGTTCTCTTTCACAAGAATATTTTCCTTTCCTTTTTCCCTTTTTTCAGTTTTATTGACAAATAAAATTGTAAGATACTTAAAGCATGCAATGAGATGATTTGACATACTTATACATTGTGAAAGGATTCCCCCATCAAGTTAACACATGACATATTTAACTTTTTTTGGTGAGAACATGTATGTTCTTTTCTCTTAACCTTTTTTAATGCTTTAGGAATGGCCTTTTGTTTTAAGAAAATGATCATATTTGAACTTTTGATAGGAAATAAAATGATTTGCCTTTTGTGTTTTTGTGTGCTCTAGAAATCCTCACCAGACAGCTTCCTGTTTCCTGAGAATCATTACGTGATCAGCTACAGGGATGAAAGTCTTCAAGTTGATAGGAGGGATGGTCATCCTCACCTCTTTGTTTTTCACCTGTTTGGGGCAAATTCCAATCACTGTATTCTGCTCTATAGACTGGTTCATGGTTACAGTACACCCCTTCATGTTGAACAGCAATGTATATGTACACTTTCATGAGTTACACTTGGGCCAGGGTTGCCCTGTCAATCATGTTCAGTCACATATCTACAAGTTTACCTACCGTGTTACCGAATGTGGCATCAGAGCCAAAGCTATCTCTCAGGATATGGTTATGTACAGCACTGAGATACATTGTGCTTCAAAGTCTACCTCAACTAAATACACATTTCCAGTGTCATGCACTGCCCCCCAGTACTCCCCATGGCTCACTACTCCCTACTGCATGAAAGAAGCCAGCAAGATACAAACCACAACCCAGGATGGTGAGACAGGCTACGAGGTGTTCACCTTGTCACAGTCCAGCCAGAGGCCCAACTGCAATTGTCCACCTTGTGTCTTCAACGAAGGAGTGTGCCCAGGCTCCACAGCATAAAGCAGAGGCTCAGAAGGGCCATTCTAAGCAGTCATTTTTATTTGTGGCTATATCTGAGGATTGATCTCTGTTCAGACAATCTACTTGAGTCCATGTGATCTCAGTTTGGGGTCTCCTGTTGATGCTTTTTCTAAAATTAGTATATAGCCCTGTCCGGTGTGGCTCAGTTGATTGGGCATTGTCTCATGCACTGAAAGGTTGCCAGTTCGATTTCCAGTCAAGGCACATGCCTGGGTTGCAAGCCAGATCCCCAGTGGGGGCCATGCAGGAGGCAGCCAGGAGATGTTGCGCTCAGACATCAATGTTTCTCTCTCTCCCTCTACCTTCCTCTCTATCTACGAATTGGTGAAAGTTTTTTAAAAATAAATAAAATTAGTATGTGATATTTACTAATATCAGACAGGTAAATGTTCTTGTGGCTCTCTTATGAGGGCTTTTGAAAAGGGCAGCCTGTGTTAACTTTTTGAATAAAGTTTTTTTAATATTTTTATATCTTTTTTAAAGCAAAAATAAAGTTCTGATGGCTTAGAAATGTCAGTTGGAGACTTTAATTAATAAATATATATACTATGAATAATAAATATATACATATATATTTACTATGGATGAGACATTGTTCTATGTGCTTTTCAAACATTAGTGCCTGGTCTCTTTTTTTTTTCTAGGAAAACTTATCTCTCCTTCAAGGTCCCGAGGTGAATCCCTCCCTCTGTATCTTCATTTTACTTATACTCTGCAGCATTCAAATTAGTTCTTAGAAACCAGAAACACCAATCAGAAAGAATATATGCCCCCCATGTTCACAGCAGTGCAATTTACAATAGCTAAGATTTTGAAACAGCCCAAGTGACCATTAGCAAATGAGTGGATTAGGAAACTGTGGTACACTTGCACAATAGAATACTATGCAGCTGTAACAAAAAGAAAGAAAGAACTCTTATCATTTGCAACAGCATGGAGGGACCTGGAGACTATTATGCTAAGCGAAATAAGCCAGCCAGAGAAAGATAGCGTCACATGATCTCACTCATAAGTGGAATCTAATGAACAAAATTAACTGATGAACAAAATAGATCCAGAGACATCGAAGCATTGAACAGACTGACGAATTTCAGAGAGAAGGCAAGGAAGGGGGTGAGGAGTGATTAATCGGGTAACTTATATGCATATATGGACACAGACAATAGAGTGATAAAGGCCTGGGAAGGGCAGATGTGGGGAGGAAGGGGTCAATGGGGAAAAAAACAAACAAAGGGGACATCTGTAATACTTTCAACACTAAAGAAAAAAACAAATTAGTTCTTAGCTACATACCTTCTTAGATCTATGGCTGTGTCACTTTTTATCCATGAAAGGCATAGGCTGCACTAGTGGTTTGGTTTATAAGCCACCAATGGTTCTAAAAATCGTTCAAGTCACACCCCACTAACTAGATTGTGAGCTCCTGAGAGCTTGATAATACTTTAAAAAGAGTTTTGTGCCTGACTTTTGTGATCAGAATATTTTCACTCAAGTTTGGCAATCCATTGGTTTTTTTCAAAGACTGGGAGGGGGAAGGGTAAATAAAACGTTTCAACAAATATGCATTGCATACTATTACATTTCAATCACCATACTAGGCACTGAGGATATGGCAGTGAATATAAACTAAGGCTCAGAGAAATTAAGTAAACAAATAAACAAGTAAACAGAAATTTAGAGAGCAACAAATGTCATGAAGAGCTTAAAACACAGTGATATGAGAGAAATTGCAAAATAGGTTGAAGCAGTTAGGAAAGGCCTCTGAGGTACTGACATTTGAAATGAGTCTTGAATGTGAAGAAGGAGCCAGCCCTGGGATGATCTGAGAGAGAACATTCCAGATAGTAGAAGCATCTCATTTAATCCTCACAACACTGAGAGTGCTCTTATTATATCCATTTTACAAATAAGTAACTAAGGCACAGAATGATTAAGAAATTTGCCCAAGGCAAACACCTCTATTAAGAATCAGACAATGTTAGCACAATGTACATGATGATATACACACAAAGTGCTTCAGTGGATGAGTAGACATTAGAAATTCAATCATTGTCTTAGTCCATTTGGGCTTCTATAACAAAGTATCATAGACTGAGTAGCTTATAAAAAAAAACAGAAATTTACTTCTGATGGCTCTGGGAGTTGGAAATTCTAGATCAAGGTACCAGTACAGTCAAGTTCCAGTAAACGCTATCTTCCAGGTTTCAGACTGTTATCTTCTGATTGTGGAAAGGTATCTAGAGAACTCCCTAGGGACCCTTTCCTAAAGATAATAATCCCATTCATGATGACCCAATCCTCATGATCTAATCACCTCCCAAAGGCCCCCCACCTACTAATATCATTGGGGGTGAAGATTTCAACACATGAATTTTGGAGAGGACACAAACATTCAGTCCATTGTAGTCATGTTAGTTGAAGAAAAATAGCTATTCATTTAAAATTTTTCCTGTTCCTTTTTGAGGAAAATCAGGTAATAATCCCTGAAAACAATGTATTCATTCAGCAAATGTTTATTGAATTTGTCCTATGTGCCAGGAATTATGTTAGATGTCGAGCTTGCATTGGGGAACAAGACTAAGGCAGTCTAATCAAGAGGATACAAGTAAAGAAGTCTAGGGACCTAGAGGTTACTCTAGCCCAGAGAATAGGACTGTACAAAGACATGAGGATCTGGGCTATGGCCATCAGAGAAACTGCAATGGGAGGGGGTAGCTGATGGTGGTGAGAGTTGGGGCTAAGGAAATAACTGTATACAAGACGATGTACAAGAGAACTAGCACTTCCCTCACCCATCCTGTCTTCAGAAACTTACAGATTATTAAACACTAGAACACATATAAATAACTTAGCAAATAATACTAGACACATTAGACCTGTGGTACCATATGCAAGTTATGCACTTAATAACTGTAAGGGGCAATATTCATGAAGACATCCCCTGAAGTTGTATAATGTATCAGGCTTGGAGGAGACTCAAGACCTACGTGGTAATAATATTCATCAAGTGCCAGATATATTATATACATAATCTCATTCAATACAACAACTCTATAAGATAACAATTATTTATTCATTTTTATAGATAAAGAAACTAAGGCTCAGAGAAATTGAGGCCGTATAGTTAATAACATCACTGGGATTCAAACCCAGGTTTGTCTAGCCCCCAAATTCACTTTCCCCCTATATTAAACACTCCCTACCAGCATACAGAAACTTCCAGTTGGGTTGGGAGATCCAGGAAGATTTCCTGGTAGAAGTGGGCAATGACCCCACTCTTAGAAGATAGAGAAGATTTGTCTCACAGAGAAAAGAAGAGCATTCTTGGTGAGCATAAACACTGAAGACAGGGTGGAGAAATGTACTGTGTTGATAGGAAGACACCTAGGGGGTTATTGCTCTAAAATAGGTGAGAGGCGATGAGAACAGATAGGGGAAGGAGTTGAAGTATAGGAAGAGATGAAAACGAGAACCATTTTAAGTAAAGAACAACAGGACTTTATTTTAGCCTAGAAAACAGTTAAATATCTACGTAAGCCCCATTCATGATTAAGAGATAAATTGAGTAGTGCAGGAAAATTTGGAGTGTAGAATATTCCAGGCCCAGGAGCAGAGAGGACAAGACTTGAGCTAAGTCTTAATCTGTCTAACTGGATATATGTGAAAAAGAAGAGACTGAATAAAAAGACATCACAGTTTAGAGCCCGAGAAGCTAAGATTACATGATAAGCTTTGTATTTAAGTAAGAAAATTAGAGTGTAGAGGTGAAGATGAGTCTAGTTTAGACATGTTGGGTGTGAGATGATAGTGACATCCAAGTGGATATGTCCAGGAATTAGCTCAAGAAATAGAGCTTACTTGAGCTGGAACTGGAGTAAGGGGTGTAAGGGATAATTACTGGGAAATAAAGTCTTGAGATCACGTGAATAAGGCAATTAGGGCCACAGAATCAGAATTCCCTGATGCTAAATCTTTAAGGCACAGTTAAGAAAAGAAGAAGAGACACCAAAGGGGACAGAAAAGAAGTGATTAAGAGGTGAAAGGAGAAATATGACTCATGGAATTCTAGGATGGAGAGCTAGGTGGACTGTATTTTCCACTGCAACCAATAAGCCAAGATAGAGTAAGCCTAGGCATCATGGAATTAGAAGACTTTGAACTAGACCATACTAGTAAATGAGAGATAAATTTTCATCAGGTGAAAATGGAGGGCAAGAGCATTCTAGGCAATGGAATCAGCAAGAACAAAGATGCAAAGCAATATTGTGATCAAGAATCATATTTTGCCTGGGCATACATCTCAGCATGATTAGGCATACTTTTTTAAATTTCAGGAGCACTCTGCACTTATTAACTTGGAAAAGTTATCACTTAGTATCAGTGTACTTCAACCATTTCAGTTGCATTTTTGATATTTTCCACTTGATTGTATGCCTCTTGAGCACTGGAAACCCTCTCCTCTTCGTTTGCTTTCTTGTTTCACCATTTTGCCTTTACCTTACATAGAACTTGGTAAAGGTACTCAGTAAGTGCTCAATCCATTTGACTGACTGACTGATTGTTACTGTTAAAGGGCCTGGGAGTTCATAAGCATAGTAACCATTTAAAATATGGGAATATAAAAATGCCTTAAGAAAAATGGCATTTTGAATTGGCTAATTTATTTACCTTTGAAATGCCACTCTAAAAGAGTATTTTCCTCCTTTATCCTAGAAATGGTCATTCCATTTTAAGGTAACATGATTTATAAAAGCCTACCACACAGTTTTAATCATATTTGTGATAACAATAAGAAGTGTTTTCCTGCCATCAAAAGAGTCACTCATAAAAGGAGACTCAAAGGAACACTTAAATTTTATTCCTGTAAACTAAAAACAGCAAACAAGCATTGAACAGACCTTCAAACCTCAGAGGGAAGGCAGGGAAGGATGGGCAGGAGGGGAGGGGGAGATGGTAAGAGATCAACCCAAGAACTTGTATGCATATAAGCATAACCAATGGACACAGACAATAGGGAATGAAGGCTTGGGCTGGGGGGCAGGGTGGGCTGGGAGAGAACAATGGGGAGGAAAGGGGACATATGTAATACTTTAAACAATAAAGAATTTTTTAAAAAACTGTAAAGAATATATGTAAATGTTCAGGGCAAAAGTCTTTTATTCCCAATTTTAACCAGTAGACCATTTGGGAGATGCATGTAACTATCAAAAATAAACTCAAAACGGATAAATGACTTAAATGTAAGACAGGAAACCATAAAAATCTTAGAAGAATCCATAGGCAGCAAAATAGCAGACATATGTCGTAGCAATATCTTTACCAATACAGCTCCTAGGACAATGGGAACTAAGGAGAAAATAAACAAATGGAACTACATCAGAATAAAAAGCTTCTGTACAGCAAAAGAAACCATCAACAAAACAACAGGAAAACCCACTGCATGGGAAAATGTATTTGCCAATGTTATCTCAGATAAGGGTTTAATCTCCAAAATGTATAGGGAACTCATAGAACTTAACAAAAGGAAGACAAACAATCCAATGAAAAAATGGACAAAGGACCTAAATAGACACTTTTCAAAAGAGGACATACAGAAGGCCAAGAGACATATGAAAAAAATGCTCAAAATCACTAATCATCTGAGAGATGCAAATCAAAAAAACAATGAGGTACCATCTCACACCTGTCAGAATGGCTGTTATCAACAAATCAACAAACGACAAATGCTGGGGAGGATGTGGAGAAAAAGGAACCCTTGTGCACTGCTGAAGGGAATGCAGACTGGTGCAGCCACTGTGGAGAACAGTATGAAGTTTCCTCAAAAAATTAAAAATGGAACTTCCATTCGACCCAGTGATCCCACTTCTAGGAATATATCCCAAGAAACTAGAAACACCAATCAGAAAGAATATATGCACCCCTATGTTCATTGCAGCACAATTTACAATAGCTAAGATTTGGAAATACCCAAGTGTCCATCAGCAGATGAGTGGATTAAAAATCAGTGGTACATCTATACACTGGAATACTACGCTGCTGTAAAAAAGAAGGAACTCTTAACATTTGCAATAGCATGGAAGGACCTGGAAAGCATTATGCTAAGTGAAATAAACCAGTTGGAGAAAGATAAATATCACATGATCTCACTCATTTGTGGAATATAATGAACAACATAAACTTATGAACAAAAATAGATCCAGAGACAGAGAAGCATTGAATAGACCATCAAACTTCAGAGGGAAGGCAGGGGAGGGTCAGGGGAGGGGGTAAGAAATCAACCAAAGGACTTGTATGCATGCATATAAGCCTAACCAATGGACGCAGACACTAGGGAGATGAGGGCATGTGCTGTGGGTGGGGGTGGCTGGGGAGAGCTCAAAGGGGGAAAAGGGAGACATATGTAATACACTACTTTAAACAATAAGATTTTAAAATTTGAAGAAAAAAATAAAGAAAAATACTAGCAAATCCCTCCTTGAGGATTAACTACAGCATATTGTCTCAAAATTTGGGAAATCGGAGTTACAGCCTTCACAAATGTAAACTCTCCAATGGTTTCCACTACATTCAGAATTAAATCGAGATAAATGCTTGCCATAACCTCGAGGGGCCTTAAGATCTGGCTCCAATCTACTTCTCCAATGTTATCCTCACTTTGCGCCAGACACAAAGCCTTTGATTTGTTCTTAACTGCCAAGCTTGTCTTCACTATATCTTTGCACATGTTATTCCCACTAGATACAGCTGACCTTTATTGGTTCTCAGTTGAAATCAGGGATGGGAAACCTTTTTTCTACCAAGGGCCATTTGGATATTTATAACATCATTTTTGGTCCATACAAAACTGTCAACTTAAAAATTAGCCTGCTATATTTGGTCAAACATTTAATTAACTCACTCCTAATGCCTTGGCAGGGCCAGACCAAATGATGTCTCGGGCCTTATAGGGCCCTCAGGCAGGACGTTCCCCATCCCTGGTTTAAATAAATCTCAAGGAAACCTTTCCTGACTGCCTTTCTCTTCATTCCTGAAGGGAAATTGGTAAAATTAAGGTAACTAATATTTACTGAGTATCTAAGAGGCACTGGGCAACCCTTCATATGATTTCCATTTAATCTTCACAATAAACCTCAGAGATAGACCAAGAAACTCAGAGATTAAATAGCTGGCCCAAGGTCACATAGGTAATATATAACAAAGCAAAGATTTAAGCCCAAATTTAATCCCAAACCCACCATCTTTCTGCTACATTATATTGCCTCTCTATTTAAACAGAAAGGATCTTACTAGGAGGAAATGCTTAATTCAATTCAGAGCTACAAATAGGACAGCAGTTTACATAAAGATCTATAAACTGGCAGTCTGGATAATTAACTCTGTATTCAGAACTCTCATTTGGCATCTGTATTTCTTTTACATTAACTCTTAGCTAACTGGGATAATTTTAAAAAATGGTATTTCTTCTAAGACTCGAAGAGTTCATAAGGTATATTTAAATGCTTTGTTTCTCTTCTATACTTTATACATTTTGCATAATACAGATATTAATTAGTTAAATTATAGAATTTCTGAGTTTACCCCAAGCAGTTAAACTAATAAATATTCAGGAATGTCATGGCTTTTTTTAAATGAAGAGACAAGATTTTTAACATTTTCCAATTAGGGTTAATAAATTGGAACAATATTTAGGCAATGTTAATTTGAAAAAGCAAATCACAAGTACTCTGGGAATATATCATATTTATGTATATGCCTAACTTTCTGAACTAGAACTAGAATATTCTAGAGAGCAGAGTCTTTTACCTATACAAAGCCATACACCTTACAATGGAAAGACTCAAAATGCTTTTTAAATGCCAATTATTAGAAAAAAGAAACCAATTTTCTTTATATCTCAATTAGTTTTAAAATATATGTCCACAAATTCTTTAGTATTCCTCCCAGTAAAATATGAAGCCTAAAGTTCAGCAAAGGGAATATAGTCAATAATATTGTAATAACTATGCACTAGTATGGTACCAGGTGGGTGCTGGAAATATTGGGGAGGAGGTCACTTTATAAATTATATAATTGTCTAATCACTATGCTATACACCTGAAAGTAATAGTATAAAATAATATTAAATGTCAACTGTAGCTGAAAAATAAAATTTTTAAGAAAAAAAAACTATGTAAAGAATATATGTAAACATTTAGGGCACAAGTCTTTTATTCCCAATTTTAACCAGTAGACCATTTTGGAAATGCATGTAACTCTCGCCATTCCTCCATTCCTCTATCAATAAGGAAAGCCTGGTCATGCATTAAACTAAACACAGTGCTGTACACACACACACACACACACACACACACACACACACACACACACACAGGCATGCACCCACATACACAGACACATCACCATGTTTATAAGAAATGCATTATCAAAGGACAAATGTTTATTATAAAGGGAAGGCTAACTTTCTCAGACACATCCTTTATTTTTATTCTTTTTTCTTTAATTCAAATTCATGTTAATCCTTATGATTGATCTCCATGATATCCTGTTTAAATTGTAATTATAGTTGTTTATTCCAAAGAGAGAGAGAGTGAAAGAGGATGGGGGGAGGGGGGGCGGGCTTTCAATCTTGTGATATTCTATAATGTTTTCAGAAGAAAATAAATGATTTAGTCAGATTTCAGCTTATAAACTTATGTTGGTTATATAATTACAAGACCTTCTGTATTAGTTATCTACTGCTGAAAACTAATTACCCTAAAATAACAACCATTTATTATCTCATAGTTTCTGTACCACTTAGCTGGGTGCCTCAAGATCTCTCAGGAGGTGCAGTCAAGCTGTGGGTGTGGCTGCAGTCATCTCAACACTCAACTGAAGTTGGAGAATCCACTTCCACACTCACTCAAGGGGCTCTTGGCAGGAGGCCTCAAAGCCTCTCTGTGGGCCTCTTCACAGGTTGTCTGTGGGCCTCTTCACAGGTTGTCTGAGTATCTTCATGATATAGATGATGATGATGATGATGATGATAGAGAGAAAGAGAGAGGGAGGAAGGAAGGGAAGGGGAAGGAAGGGAAGGGAAGGGAAGGGAAGGGAAGGGAAGGGAAGGGAAGGGAAGGGAAGGGAAGGGAAGGGAAGGGAAGGGAAGGGAAGGGAGAATCCAAGTTAGAAGCCACAGGCTTTTTGTAACCCAACCTCAGAAATGACATCTCATCACTTCTGCTATATTCTATTTGTAAGAAGTGAGTATCTAGGTCCAGACCACAAACAAGGGGAAGGAATTACACAAGGGTGGAAATACTAGGAGATGAGCCCTGGCTGGTTTTGCTCAGTGGATAGAGCGTCAGTCTGTGGACTGGGGGTTCCCGGGTTCCATTCTGGTCAAGGGCACATGCCCCAGTTTCGGGCTTGGTCCCCAGTGGGGGGCATGCGGGAGGCAGTCGATCAATGATTCTCATCATTGATATTTTTATCTCTCTGTCCCTCTCCCTTCCTCTCTGAAATCAATGAAGATATATTTTTTAAAAAAGAAATTCTAGGAGATGTGGATCATTGTAGTGGGGACCTTCAACCTGATCATACTGGCAAACTCTACAAATACAACCTTTTTCAATTTATTTACGTTAATACAATTAATGGCAGGGCACAGACTGGGTAGAAAAATCCATGTCACTGCCATACCCTTGCATCAGTCAATTCTACTTTCCTTCTCCAGGGAAAACAAGTTCTATAACAGTGATGGCGAACCTTTTGAGCTCGGCGTGTCAGGATTTTGAAAAACCCTAACTTAACTCTGGTGCCGTGTCACATATAGAAATTTTTTGATATTTGCAACCATAGTAAAACAAAGACTTATATTTTTGATATTTATTTTATATATTTAAATGCCATTTAACAAAGAAAAATCAACCAAAAAAATGAGTTTGCGTATCACCTCTGACACGCGTGTCATAGGTTCACCATCACTGTTCTATAAGCTTCAAGTTATAGAACTAACTGATTGGTGGAAAGCATTTCAGAGGAAGCTTCCTTTTTTTTTTATAAGAGAACATTGATGCAGACATTCAAAACCAAAGGGAAAAAGTGTAAAAGTTAAATAGTATAGATGATGATACTGGGTAGAGGTTCTAATGTTATTTCTAATGTTACCCATATTAGTGACAATATAAACTCTTTCAATAGTCCTCTAATGTAGTGTAATTCAGATCGAGTAACACTATTCTAATGTAATTCAAAGTGGGAGTGTAAGGTCAATAGTCCTCTAATGTAGTGTAATTCAGATCGAGTAACACTATTCTAATGTAATTCAAAGTGGGAGTGTAAGGTAAGGGAATCTGTGTCATGTATATGTGTGTATACATATGTGTATATATATATTACACATATGCCATTATTATCCAGCTTCTAAGAAAAGTAGTCAGGGGGCTTTGCTTATTGATTTATATATGAATATTAACACAATGCTCCCCATCACTTACTACTTTCATTTTTGCTTTGTTCCTATCCAATTCATAATACAACAGTAGCTGAGAGGAGCTAACTGAGTCTGAGCGGGTGGTGGGATTGTAGGAGGGTTCATAAACAGGTTTCTGGAAGTGAGGTAACAGGCTTGTTCTTCCATACATAGCTTTGTCAACATTCATTTGTAGATGTTCTCTGACAGGCAAGAGGGAATTGCTCTCAATGAGGGAAGTAAAGGCTAATGCCAGTTTTTCAAGTATAAAGGAAAATTTTTTAAATCCCCACCAGCTGTCTAGAAATGTACCACTTGGAGGCACTTATATTCTACAGTTACTAAGAGGAATATTTAAATTGACCAAGTTAGTTTCAGTGTTATTTTAACTTTGTCACACACACCCTATTATATAAACACCATGCTAATGTAAATTATTCACCTTTTAAAGTTACTTCAGAAGTTTTGACTTTTAGCCAAATACCTATTTCTTTATATCAAGAATTCTTTGGGGTTGTAAGTCTGCAACTTAAATGTGCACACATCTTTAAAAGAAAAGTTTATTTTCCATGTAATGCCCATAGAATATTTATTCTGTTTTCTAAGCTGTATTTACATGACAAAGTACTAAAAGAAAGCCAGTGTTGAGGCGAGAAGACACAAGTCCTAAAGCAGCAGGGATACTGGTTTCTTTGAGGTTAGAAAAGTCCCAGCCCTCCCCACTACCAAGGGTGGGTCAAGCTAGGAACAAATTGACCCAAAAGTAAGCCTCAATGTCATTTCTACACCAACTCCCTATAATAATTTACAGTCTGCAATCAAAATAAAATAACCTCTACAAAAATCTGCTTTTTATGATCCAAACTACAAATTAATTCTCTTTTTCATTTCATATTTCATCTGCTTAATTTTTGCTCCACTAAGGTGGAGAAATCACACTCTTCTGCTTATATTCAGATGCACTTAAGCTCTAAATATGTCATGATATTTGGGTTACAGCAACTAAAGGGAATTTTTAAGTTGTCCAAGTTACTTTCAATGTTGTTTTAACTTTGCAAAAATATTTAATGACAATTTTTTAAGTTGCCCATGAAAAATAACATTCTCCATTTTGAAGCCCTGCCACCACCCAAAAAACAATTAGCTTCAGTCCAGAAGGTGTGGATTCATTCATCAAATCAGCACATGATGTTTCTGGATTCTTTTGATGAATTTTTTGCCTGATATTTACTGGTATTTAAAAACATTTTAATGTGTAATTTAACAGGAAATTGATTAACTTTAAAGTCCAATCAAGTCCTAATGGTGGGGCGTATTTTGGTGTGTGTAGGTGTAAGTGTGAGAGCCAGAGGAAGGGAGGGAGAGTGAGAGAGAAAGGGAGAGAGGGAGGGAGAGGGAGAGAGAAAATAGCTGCTTGGAAAAAAAGTCTAGACATCACCTGATACATACTAGGCATACAATAAGTAGTATTTTTCCCACCCTTTCTCTTCCCTAGTAAGAAAACTCACTCCTGTGTGGCATGGAAAATAGGATATTCTAATTATTCAGATTTTCATAGGTTTGCTGCAGCTCATAGTTCAGAAAGTTACCATGTAAGCCAAGTGAATCTCTTGCAAATATTATTTCCATTACATCATGCCCTTACTCAAGGACGTTTAAAGTCTCCAAACCATCCTGCAATTAAAACTCCTCTGCCTATTCCCACACCCCCCATAATCTATTTGTTCTGGAGTGGGTGGAACGTTTTTGTTCAGCTCAATCTCCAACTAATTCCTGAACATTTAGCCTTTTTACAGCTAACTCTATCTCCTTCCAGCTCCTCTTTATCTCAGGCCCTTTGAGCACAGTTTTCCCGTTCCATCCAAATTCCATCTTCCTTTCAAGGACTGGCTTGAAACTTAAAAGTATAAAATGTGTTGATAGTTTTTTCAGGAGAGGGCTTATAGCACTGAGAAGCTAAGTTACAAGTAAATTAATTCCATATTATTATAGGGGATGTTGTTGCAAATGTCTGTCCCATGCCAATTTGTTAAGCCACTGTGTCACTCTGGGTTAGATAACCTTGGCACCAAGAGCATCAGAGGGCACCTAAGTCAACTGTTGAGCATCTCGGTCATAGTCTTTTCACCAACACAACTTTTAACTCCTTCTATTTGGTCTTTTTCCTTCTCAGATATGCATTTATTTGACAGAAATGTACTTAGTCACCAACCTATGCAAGTTATTGCACAAACATGTCCCTACCCTCTGAGAGCTTACTGTTTGCTAGGAAGAGTTTCAGAATAACTATATGAAAGTGTTCTGATGGGCCCTAACTGGTTTGGCTCAGTGGATAGAGCATTGGCTTGAGGACTGAAGTGCCCCAGGTTCGATTCTGGTCAAGGGCATGTACCTTGGTTGCGGGCACATCCCCAGTAGGGAGTGTGGAGGAGGCAGCTGATCAATGTTTCTCTCCCATCGATGTTTCTAACTCTCTATCCCTCTCCCTTCCTCTCTGTAAAAAAAATCAATAAAATATATTTTTTAAAGTGTTCTGATGGGATAGGACAGAGGTTATTAAGTCCAACTCTGAGGTATCTGAGGAGGCTTTGAGGAGTAGGTTGATATGGACTGCGAATGACTGAGGAAATGGGAGAAACAAACATCTCCGCCTAGAGCCATGAAGAAGGTGTGGCTGGAGGGAAGGACTTACAACTGGAGAAGCAGATTAGAGTCAGGTTGGAGAAGGCCTTGAAGGCCACATTCGAGACTTCAGCACTTAGTTGTGATTTTTGTGACAAGGATTAATATGATCAGAATTGTGTTTACAGAACAGAACTCAGGGTCCACTGGGAAAGGGGTAAAACTCATCTGGGAGATGAGTGAGGAGCCTGAGAAAATTACCTTGATGATGTAGTGGTGGCAAGTTGAGGGTTTTAACTAGGGTACAGGTAGAAATGGAAGGAAAAACTTGGTTTTCTTTTAATACTTTCATCTTTTTTCCCTTTCTTGCCTTCGTCCTCACTCTCCACCTCACTCTTATTTTCACTAGTCCCTGCCTGTGGTCTAGGGATTCCTGGGGACTCTGAGCTAAAGGAGCTGCTGAGCCCTGAGTTTAGGGCAAATGTAAATGTTGAAAACTGGGTCCAGATTTCCATCTCCATTTCCTGCCAATGGATGGGGCTGCTCTGGTCTTTAACTATTGCAAAATCCCGCCTGATTTTAAGCCTAAGAATTATTTTAAGAGACAGGAGGTAAAAGAAACATTTTTCCACCAGTCCTAGAAACTCTACCTATTAAGTTGTTTTTTTTAATGCAGTTGTGTTTGGGGACAAGAAGGAAAGCTGTGAGTGAGATCTGGATAGTTCAGTGTTAATAGCATTAAAGTAAATGCTTCAGTTATACATACTGACTTTTCCTCCTTCCCTATTTCAACAAAGGGTTTCATAGTTTGAAAAACACATCTTGGTTTTAAACAAAGATAGTACCCTTCGTGTCCTTCAATTTTCTATTCTCTCCTCCCCTTGCTA